ACATCTGAAGATGTATTTGGATTCTATTCTAATAAATTAAAGAGAAGAATACGTACCATTTTGATTCGATGCTTCTGAAACACTTTTGGGATTCTGTTTTTGCTCTTTCTTCATAATATCTCTAATACGTATAGCGATTTTAAGAAAGAAAGCAGAAACACAAAAAGGAAAGATATTTGCAAATATCTTTTTTTTTCATAAAGTCGACATTCACACTTATTATGAATTAATTAAATCACTGAATTGTTTCAACATAAAATTACACAGTGTTGATCTTTTTCCTTCAAAAAAAAGAATTGTAAAATTTTTATAAAATATTTCGACCACAACAACAATTTTGAACTTTCGTAATTTAGTGCTTGGTACCTTAAAACTTGAGAAAAAATAAATGAATTACAAATAAATTTGTAATTTATTTGTAATTCATTTATTTTTTCTCAAAAAAAAAAAAAAGAAAAAAGAAAAAAGAAGAGAATGATCAGATAAATAAATTACAAAGTAATAAGTATCAAACAAACAAATCCTTTTCACACAGTGCTAATGAAAATACTTTAAGGAAAAAAGCAAATGACCGCCGAAAAGGTCATAGAAAATTCTCTAGAAATTTGACCTGACTTTTATTCTATTTACTTCTCTTTTTCTATTGTCACCTAATCATATCATCATAAAAAATGTTTAATAGCAAATATTGCTGAAATTATTACATTCTGAAAAAGTTAAATAATTTAGCCATAAAAATACGTGGTTAAAATATTCTTAAAATCGTAAAATACTAAATTTTATGATTTTTTTAAATCAAATTAATAATAATCCGGAACGACTAATACGGAATTATTCATTTTCGTTTAAGATATATTAGTTTATAACAATTGCCACTTACATTTGAAAAATAGTTGAATGGGTTGATATTTTTAATTTAAGATGCACTGGATGATTATTTATCAGAAATCATTGATTATTTTATGTTACATGTATTTCCGAATACAGTAATTAATAAATAATATGAATTTGATTTCAATTCTACCATTTTCTTACATTAATTTTACTGAATTAATAATGACGGAGTTTTATTCCATTAGTGTAAGGCAAGCAGCTATTCTATCAACATTAATTACTTAATTAATTGCTTAGTCAACTTCCAATAGCCGCTATTAATTAATATTTTGTGATAATTTTGTGTCATTTCCAGCAAATTAATCAAGTGATTTGATAATTTACATCCATTAATTAGAACAAATGTATCAGATGGTTCTGTAATTTTGTTTTACAATACCAATGAAAAATTTCAAACAGATTGATAAATCTTAAAAGAACAATGTATGCAAAAATTTCGATGTAATAATATAATTTTTGTATAATATAAAAATGTATTAAATATCAATAACTGATATTAATTTTTTTTTTCAATTGTAACCATTTATTTGCAAACTTTTTATGACTTATGGTAACCATTCCTTTTTCGTTCTGATAATTTATATTTAGTGATTAGAACGAATGTACCAGATAGTTCTATAGAATCAACAAAGATCAATGATGATCATAATGTATGCATATTAGATTCAAACTCCAAGTAAGATATTGTTTTATGCTATCATTCTAAGTAAATTTACTTTTAATATTAATAACGTTCTGATATATATTTATAGTTTGTTTGATTAGGGAAGGATTTAAAATTAAGCAAATTTCGATAAATTTTGTAAAGATTTCAAATTAAGTAAATTTTGGTTTATTTAATGAGCGTATAGGAATAAATACATTTTGTGCTATTTTAAAACTGGAATATAGCAAAAGTAAAGCCTAAAATGAGTTTTTTGAAGCCTAATGATTTAATCAATCAATTAATTCATTATCAATCAATCGCTTTGGTTAGATTCTAACTACTATTACTGATTCGTTTAACTAGTAATAATTTGCTAAATTTTTAGGGAAATTTTAGGAATTTCGAAGAATTTCAATTTTTTTTCTTTTTTTTTTTTAATTATATCAACTGATTGGTCTCATTTGTCAGGTACAACATATTATGCAGATATGGCTGATGGTAACAATTATCGTGCAGGTGATAGTGGACAGCAAAATGATTCAGATGATACAACAAGGAATGATGAAGATTCTAGTGCTAGCGGTCAAAGTTCAATTAACAATATTGCAACAAATGATGATATTAATCTTAATTGTAACGCTCTACCTCTACCTCACAATGATATTAACACTTTGATAAGAAATATTATCGAAAAAATGAATGATAATAGTTCATTCAATCAAAATGATGATTGTTCACAATCTGATTATCCGCAATCTATTATGGTAAGTTTTTTGAAAGTATTAAGTATGTCATTTTAGTTAGCAAAATATTTGCAAGAAATGAATTTTATATTTAATTGAATAATCATAGAGAAGAAAATTATCATTAATGATTTTAATTTGAAATTGATTCTTAATTTATCAATCATTTATTGTAATTAATTATTTTTAGAATGCAAGATATTCTGATAATTCAACAATAACTTCAGTCGAAACTTTGAGTTGGGATGAAATCGAGAAGAAAAATGATACGTATTTATTATTGAGAAGATTGGGAACAAAGTTCAATGCAGTAAGAGAAAGGTCAAAAAGTTGTAGTATTTTTCAAAGAAATCGACCGTATCCAGTATATAATCGTCCTACAACAAGTTCTAAAAATTTATTCAGGTTTCAACTTTTGAGGAATCAACTTGTTTGTTTGAAAAACTTATGAAGTTAAAGCACATATCAGGTTTAAGGACAGAACATCCTGCAAGTTCCGAGGAGTCAACAAATTCGGAAAATTCAACAAATTCTGAAAAGTCATCAATAAGTTCCGAGTCGTCAACTAGCCTAATTGAGCCATCAGATTCGAATAATCTAGCAAATTTGGAACCTTTGGAAGAACACCCAGAGAATCCATCAAATTTAGGGAATCCGTTAGAACATTCGGTAAGTGCGGAGTACTCAACAAACTCAAAGCATTCATCAAGTTCTGAATACTCAACAGGTCCGGAGCATTTAGCAAATCAGGAAAATTCATCGAGTTCAGAGAATTCAACAAATTCAGAATACTTAACAGGTTTGGAGCATTTACCAAGTCAGGAAAATCCATCAAGTTCTCATCATATGTTGGGTTCAGAATATTCAACAGAATTGAAGCATCCACAAAATCCGAAATGTTCAATGCATTCAGTACGTTTGATAAGCTCAATAATACCTGAAAGTTCAGGCCCATCACGAAATTTTGAAACTTCTGAAATTCTGCGAAATTTGAACAGCCAAGAATTTTCGACATCATTTGAGGAGGAGGAGGAAGGACGAAGGATTCTCATTGGTCCTATTGATCCAATGTTGCCAATATCATTAGATGATTCAAAGGAAGCTTCAACTGAAACTTCAAATAACGATGGTGATAGCTCAGAAACGGATGATATCTATCCTTTTTTAACAACTTCTACAACAGATGCCAATGTTATCGAAGAAACTCCTGAAATTTCTTCTCAACAATCATTGAATATGATACCATATGAAATATTAGCAAATCCAGAAAATGACCAACAAACAATTATGCGCGGAAATCCATTAATTATAAATGATGAGTCATATGTGGAATATTTTATATGTTCGCAGTATTCTTCAAGTAGTTCAAGAAATTCTGAACAACCATTAGATGAAGAGAATTTGTTAGCTGAAACAGAACCAGAAAATCAACAACCATCCGTACAACATTTGGATAATCAAGATAATGCTATTTATAATATCAATGGACTTTAAATCATTGATATTGTGATATTAATTATTCTTCAAAATTAAAAAAGGAAAAGAAAAATATCGGATTTCTTTTCAATGAAAAAAAAATCTTTTTAATATCTGAAATAGTAAATATCTTTTATCATTCGTTATCGTTATTCAGTAGTATCTTTAAATTTTTCTTTTCATTTTATCATTAGGCTAATCTTCTTCATTTTATCCTTTAAAATGCTATTATTTACAGGTAATTATCATACATGCCATAATATTACAATTATCAAAAAAAAAAAAGCATTTGATTAATGTCGTTTATATATTCATTTTGTTCCTTTATTGACATTTGTTCGTTCTTGTATAATTGAAATTTTGGAATTTTAATTTTTACTTAAATCCATTTATGTATCGTATATTAGTATACATATACTTGTGTATGAGCAATTTTTTGAACTTGAAACTTTTTTTAAAACACTATTTCTTTATCAGATAGAGTGATTAAAATCATTTTATTACAAAGATATGACAAATATTGTGGTTATGATAAGTGGAGATATTGCAAAATTTTTATTTTGTTGCAAAAATTATTAATTAAAAAATTGAGAAATTTTTTTGAAATTGCAGTAAAACAGCATTTTTTTTCGGAAATTATAAATTTAAATTAAAATTTCCGAAAATGTGAATTTAAGCTTGGAGAAAATTATAAAAATTGTCCAAAATTTTAGTTTTTAAAAACTATTTCAGGTAAAATTCATATTATCTCATTGATTTCTCCTTTTTTTAGATTAAATTTTGTATCAATTAATGTCAGTTAGTCATCGAATGTCACACATTTAAAATGTTGATTGCAAATTTGAAAGTTTCATATTTCAGTCTGATTTCAAAGCAATAAAAGGTTTATACCAATTTTGTACCATTCACATTTGATTAGATGAAATGAAAATTCGTAGAAAAACTTTTCCAGAAAAAGTAAACATTTACTTCATTTTTGACCTGATCTGACCCTAAACTAATTCTTTATGCTATAGGATCGGTTGATCATATAATTAGCAATATGCTATTTCATTCACAAAATTCAATTTTTTTTCCAAAAATTAATTAATAATGCATTTGACCTCATTTGAATTTGACCCGAATGAACCTTAAACTAAATTAATCCTTTACGTTATGTAGAAACAATACAATCAGCATATGCTGTTTTATTCTCAAATTTCAATTTTTTTTTTTTTTGAAAAATTTGTAATTCGTCCTATATTTGATCCTACTTGACCTATATGAACCCTAAATTGATTTTATGAAATTATCGTTAACCTAATAAATGGAAGAAATATGTTAATGGGTAAAATAATGATTAGTGGTTGAATGTTAAATAATATCAGAAAGTGATATATGTTGAAAATTTTCGTTTTTCCTTCAGCAGTGAACGGGTGAAACAAATTCCTGATATCAAATCTTATATTAAGTAATTCTGATATCAGGTAATCCCTATATCAAGTGATCCTGATATCACATGATTCCTGATATCAAGTGATCCTGATACCAAGTAACTTCTGATATCAAGTAATCCTGATATTAAGATATCAAGTAATCAATTACTAAATGTAAATCATGTCTGTCCGCTAATTTCAATCGATTCATTTCATTTCATATTTATGTTTGTATTTTAAAAAAAAGTGATCAGTCATTTTGCTCTTACAGTTATCCAAGATTTTACTTAAAGATCAGTAAAATTGTCATTTCAAGCAAACAGATTATCATGTCCAAAATAAAGCAAAAAAGAAATACCGAATATTTGAAATGTATGAACATGAAAGATTAAATTCGACAAAAATCCCCGCGATATCGCGTGTTCTTTTTGTTCTTCTTAGAAATAGACCCCACGATATCATTTATTCTTTTTACTCTTATCAAAAATATATCCCGCGATATCGCGTATTCTTTTTGCGCTTCTAACATCTGCATTTTTTCATTTCCTCAGGCTTTTTTTTTCTTAAAGAACAATGACAAGCTTCCCCACAATTAGCACATTTACTACAAGGACCAATTAAAACGACCCATAAATAATCGCGTTTGGTCGGACGTCTATGTATGCATGTATGTCCCCAATTGTGTCATTTATCAATGATCTAATCAATTAATTGCTTTGGGTATGTTTGTAGATAGACACCCGCTCCCTGATTCATTGGGTCCTCCCGTTTGTATACCTGACAGACTTATCTTTTTAACAGTACCCATCATAAAGGAATGCATTTTCGAAAATTTTTGGATAATTGTCGAAAAGATGTTGTAATTGGATGACGAATACTTGCTGGTAAATCAGATATCTCCCAGCAAAGACTAAAATTAATCATAAAATTATGATTTTTCAAAAGATAACTTTTTGAAATACAAAATAAATTAATTACTAAATTATAAAATATTAATTTGATTCATTAATTGATTGTGCATAAATGGAATGGACAAGTTAGAATCGAACTCTTTTCAGTGTTATTAATTTTCTTCATTTTAATATTTTAGTTTTAAATTTTATTTGTATAATTTATGATTGATGCAAAATTTTGGTAGTGTATGTAACTGTGTATTTTAATTCCTTTCAATTTATCCAACTTATTAATTAGGCAATTCTTTAAGTAAACTGCATGATATTCTAGAGATAAAAGGAGAAAACGGCATACATATATATTCATATATGTCCTGAATTTGGGACATAATCAAGCCTAGGGATAATTAAGTTTCATGCAGAATTTGACCTATCAATCCCATCTGATTGACAGTATTAATTAATTGGACAGTCAACTAATGATACATGAAATAGTATGTGAACAGACAATCAAAAAATTGTCAATTATGATAATGAAAAAATTTGAATGAATAATAATTAATTTATTTATTAATTTATGCAGATAGAATTTTTTTCTTTTACATTTTTACTCCATCACATTTATATTTCACATTTAAATTCAATCAATGCAATCAATTACTGTTTGATTTTTTAAATTTCTGATTATAATATTTGTTCTGGAAACTGTCTTCCAAAATATAATAAAAATAAAAGAAAAATTACCGGTACTTTTTTTTAAAACCTAAAACATCAAAAATATTATATTCCAAGAGAGGTAAATTTAATCAATATTGGTAATTTCAAATTATCCAATGTTAAAATTGAAATTTTGCAAATAATCTTGTTAATTTTAAACTAAAACAAAGGCGTGATTATTTTTTCAAATTTATTTTAATTTGAAAGGAAACAATTTTTTGGAAATACATTTTTCGCTTTTTTTTACAGTGAAATTCGAATGGACCAATAAATTGTCCAGTTGAAGTACGTGAGCTTGTTGAACCGGAGCGATTTGATGCACAAAATTCCGAAATTTATGATGTTCTTTTTCTGGAAAAACGATCTTGTACCAAAATTCCGTTCGTGGTGTTATTTACCGTATCATAATTCTCCTAAAATAATTTGTGATACTAATCTAAATAACAATTCTAATATTTAATTTTTGACTTCAATTTCCAGTGATCATTTTAATACTTCTAGATATCAATTTTTTCAGTTTCTTCCTACTTTTTAATTTCTCTTTATCCTTTTACTTTGACTCCCAATCTTTTTCTTTTTATTCCTAATTTATTCGAACAGTCGTGTATTAAAATAATAAATATGAAATGCTATACGAAATTAAATTCGGACGATGGTGCATTTTAATTATTTCGATTTGTTATTTAAATTTGGTTCCTTTTCCAGTCATTTAACTTGAATGAAATTTTACCGTATCAATGATCAATCCCTTTAATTCTTCTTCCCATGCATTCCCTACTTAACGTTCCCTACTGTAATTTTTCTTACTGTAGCAGTCACTTCGAAAAAGAAACAATATGATAAATAAGGTAAATATCTGGTGGATGATACATTTCCTTATTAGTTAACAATATCTCATTTTTTCGCCTCCCATAAAATGAGTAATGCTAAAATTTGAGACGATAATTAAATAATTAAACTGCAAAATTTTCAAAAACTTCTGAAATTTGAAAAAAGTATAATTAGTTGATATCTAATCATTACATATTTTACGCATAAAATTAAAATGAATAGAAAATATTGTTTTATTATTTTGTTGTTTTTTTTATCATTACTTTTACTTTATTTAAAAAAAAAAAGAAGTGATGTAAATAAACAGTTATTATTTACAGAGGTATTATTGTTTGTGGAATTGAATGGAGTTTTGGTGTCATCTTTTTACCACTTTATTCTCTACATATGTCATTGCATTTTTCATCTCTAAAGGACGAACTATTGCAGCTTTTATATGCTTTATTACATTATTACAGCGTAGTATATTTTTTAACGCAAAAGTAAATTTTAATTTAGAAATTAAAATTTTGTTACTTCCAAAAAAAAAGCGAAGATAATGTTCCTATTTTGGTATTACAAATGTTTAGAAGTTAAAATTAATTTTCAAATACCGCTTTGCAAATTTTGAATTGTCCGAATTTCATTTTTTATAATTAAATAAAATTTTAAAATCACATTCCGTTAACCCTTGGAACTATATTATACTGGAGGAAACAAAATTAAATTTGTTTTTTCTATCAAAACGAATAATCTCTATTTTCTCCGCTAAATATGCGACATATTTTAAAATTTTAGAACTGTTGTTAAAAATTATAATATGTATTGTCAAAAAATTAAGTGCATTAAAAAAAATTCTAAAAAATTAGTAAAAATTAAGAATTTATAAAAATTATAAATATAAAATTATGTTATTAAAAATTATAATCAATCGATCGTTTATTTAATTTATCTTGTACCGATCGATGTGATAATCGATTTAAGCATCAATATAGCTAAAAGATTAATTCCTATTAAATTCATTGTATTATTTCTATAATTTCCTTCATTTTCCACCTCTTTCTTCAACGATAAAAACTGATTTGTCATTAAAAGATACTTGAAATAAATGATGCATTACTACATTCAAAATAGTAAATGCATAAACAGCCATAAATTAATTATTTCAAACTTAAAATTGAATTTAAACTGCACATTTTAAAATGATACATTTTAAAATTAAATTTCAGGTATTATTTATGATTGCAATTTCAGAAAAGCATGCTAATTTACTCAAACAACAATTGATATTTCAATATGTCACTTGCATTTTTCTTCTACTTAATGCGACATTCACATTTACGCCTGATATTGGTGGATATAACGAGGAATATTTATTTGGTTAAAATGATTCATTCCTGATCCGTATTGCAGCTGTTATTTCCGTTATTTTCATCCTTATTGAGCTTTATTTACGCTTAATGACAAAAACAGTTTATACATTTATCAGTGAAATCAATTTTTTTGTCAAATAAGAATAAAGTATAAAGTGAAAATTAATGAGATAGGATTCATTTACTGCACTGGCTATTACTGCAGGTTATTACCGTACATTTCTGCAGTTTTTTTGTTTTTGTGAGTTATATATGTACATTTTCATAGGGTTTTTTTAATATTATGCTACCGTATATTGTTCTTGTTTTATATATCACTCAAAATTTTATTTTGACTATTTCATTTCTTTTTTTGCTTCCTGCTTGAAATACTTAAGGATAAATCACTTGAAAAAAATATAATTAAAAATTGGAAAATATAATTTACTATATATATATATATATATTACTTACTACTAAATTAAGTCGTTGTACTTTAGAATAATTAAAAATTAAGTAGTAATTGGGAATCTATGACACCTAAAAAACGAAAACGAGAAATTAGAATTTCTAGTAAATTATATTTTCCCTGGATTTTCAACCGTATTAGGCTCATAAAAGTTGTAAAATTGTTTTCATATCTCTTTTTTTGCAGACTTGCATTAGATAATTCAAGATGGCGCTACTGTAAGCGCGTACACTTTCCGCATTGTTCCATCATGCAGCAAAGCTCGTCTATTTTAGCTAAGGCGCAAACTGTCCCAAAAGTATAAATTAAATTTCTTTGCTTAAAATTTCTTCAGAAATTAAAAAAAAAGAAATCTTAGCTTAAATTATAATTGAAACCAAATTTGTATAAGAATATTGCTGCATTTACTAACTGCACTTTCATTTTCGAATTTTCAGTTTTTTTCCCAGTTTTATTCGAACAAAACAAATTATATTTTAATAAGTTAATGAAATGTTGCAAGTTTCTTTCCCAGCCAGAAGATGTCTCGAATGCAATGTACAAATTCACTCTACCAACAATAAATAATCACAAAACGGATGAAGTATTTTGCTTCCATCCTCTTTCACAGCGATCCAAATATTTGACCTTCAACCTAATCTTTCTAAAAAAAAAAACAAAAGAAAATTGCATCACCAGATAAACTTCGAAAAGGAAGTATGACTGTGATTCCACGTGACACACCAACTCAATGTAATTGCCTACTTTCTTGCCCACTAGTGAAGATACTTACTTTTCAGGTTGTTGATGAAATATGCCAAACTACTCGTGGACCGAGACTAAGTATATTTCTATTTATTTTAAAATGGAATTAAGCACAGTGAAATTTATTACAAAATAGTTGTAATCTACGCTTAACCTGAAATTAATTTTAGGCTGCTAATAATTCATATTTTTTCTTTCTTTCCAGTCCAAAATGGGATCGCTATAATTGGCGTAATTTATCACGTATACCACGTCAAAGGCAAAAAATGATAACACGGAGAGGAAACTGCTCACATTTTAGTCAAGCTGGTGTAGCTCTATTGGAAGGCAGTAGCAACAGTGCAGGAGTGTCACTTCACATCGGTATCCAATTGAATTCGAAATATCTTCCAAGGCTTCGCAAAAGAAACTTGGGAAATGTTACCGTACCGCCAATTTGCTCCAATCAAATCGTCAGCAGCTTTAGCGATGGTGTCGCTTGTCAAATGATAACGAAAGTTGACCTTGCATTCTAGTCTTTATTTCATTATATTGATAACTTGTTTTTCGCTCTCTCTCCATGAATTTGTATGATTTCCTTAATTGGCAAATCAACTTCTCAACTAGCTATAATTTACAAAAAAAAAACGAAAGCGCAAATAATATGAAACGGAACTGAGAGGAAAGTTGTTTGTTAATAGTTCCAAAATGCAATTGAATTCTGTGATGCAAAATGCATGTACATATCATGCAAAATTTGACATAGTAACCAAGAGTGTTATCAATTAATCTAATGCTATAACCAAAGAATGTACTGAAATTATTTTAGAATAAGATGGAATATTGATCTCAAATAATCGACAGTTACAAATTAATGAAGGAAAGTGTCTGATGATGAAGCAATATATTCCCTATTTGTGACACACCCTTCCCCAAAACTTGTACCATTTTGGATCGAAAAAATGATCAAGGCAGTATTTATTCAACTTCATTAAATTACAGAAAAGGGCTATCGTTACTTCTATTTTACGATGAAAGTTGTTCATGGAATAAACCAAAAAATCAATCCAGCTGATTTAAATGAATCGTGCAATGTTCCATTAAAATCGGTCTTTACTTCACGGGAAAAAATAAACCTATCAAAAATTCCCACACTTCCAAGTTTAATTCACTGATTACAGCGCAGTCAGCAGAAAAGAAGAGAAATTGCTGTAAACTCCTATAGATGTGTCATTTCAGAGTAAACTTTTGTAACCATCTCTATGGTTGCACACACAAAACGAATAAGAGGAAGCAGAAAAATTGGAACAGGAGGGAACAATTGCGAGAATACCAAATATCTGAAATATAGAAAGCGAAAAATAACAGCGATTCTTTTTTGACTGAATGAACAGAATGCACAGTTTTCTATCTAATTCATGATCACGGAAAGGGAGAAATGGGTAATGATGGCAGCAGGGCAGTATCTCTCTATAACATTTTAAGAAACTCAGAAAAATTGGATCAGAAAATTGGATCCACCCTCTCAACAATGATGATGTTCTACGAACATCTAATATGCACCTAACTCAAATACAAGTTTCATACACAGAGCACACACGCATATATATATATATATATATATATATATATATATACTATATGTATAAACACATCTAAACCACGAAGTCAACCCAATCGAGTGTCTCGAATAATATAAGCAAAGACTGAAACAGGAAAAAGGACCTGAACAGTTTCACAATATTCTGCTAAACTCTCTGAAAAGGAAGAAATAAGTGATTGACTTTTACTTCAGCTGTTTGATTCAAATAGCCACAACACTGCTGACAAAAGAAAAATATTTGTAAAGAAATTTTTGGGAAAATTAAACAATGGTCTGAGTTACATAAATATGATTATCACAATACTGAAATCTCAGCTATATTGCGCATAGGAAATTGGTCTTTCACCTAAAATCCGTTTAAAAGAATGAAGGAAAATATTAGTTGTTAAGTTAAACGACGGACTGCTGCATAATAAATGATGGGAGAACAGCTGAGGGTCAAAGAATTTACCATTCAAAATCTTCATAAATTTTATAAAGCCCTCCAATGTATGCCACATATTTTATCTTTTTCCCTTCTACAAAGTAAGTTAATTTGCTGAGATACTATTCCATGCTGTAGTCAAGTAAATTCCAACAAAAAAAATTCTAGAAAAATGAAAAAAATGCTGTATCTGAACTAAGAGTGGAGGTTTTTTACGCAACTTGAATTGATATGAACAAGGGGACAAGAGAATATACTAGAACTGAACTTAAAGCAGCTTTGAAACATACTAATTTTGCTACGAGCAGCACTTCTGGAAGTTTTTGTAAATCAATCCATACAAAACGAATTCAGTTGACGAGCATAAAAAATTGTATACAGTTTTCCGCACACTTCAGGATCTATTCTTCAGCTGATTGCTCAGCCAATCAAGTCCTTCATAGAGGCCATCGCCAGACGTTGCACATGTTGCTTGGATATACCAATTACGATTACGAAGTGTGTGCAAACCAAGTTTATCAGTTACTTCTGCTGCATTCATCGCATTCGGTAGATCCTGGAAATATTATCATCTAAAAATCGCTTGTTGCATAAGCAAAAGTAAAAAACTCGTCTTCCCCAGAAAATAAGATCAGTGACGAATTCTGCGACATTAGTATAGCTCAAGTTCCAGGGGACGGTTGTTCAATGAAGCTATTGCAAACTAGCTGCATTAAGTATATATTCAGATCACTACAAGCTGAGAAGGCTGAGAAGCTTCTCTGTTTCGGCGAATGAGTCATTAGGTCAGATGATTGTCATTTTCTAAATTCCACCACACCCATTCTGCGTCTCTCCTCTGAGGTCCCAACTAGTGATAAGCCACGTTTTAAAGTTTTTTTCTACCGGAATCAACTCCGTCTGTTTACTTCGAATTGTTTCGAATGACAAAATACTGTTCGTCATATACTAGTCTTGCAAGACAGATAATGTATGGAACATATGTTTCAAAAAATCACTTGTTTATTAGCGAAAACAAGCAAGACAGCATCTCTCAATTCGTCCTCGGCCAACATCCGCATTAATTCCTCCCGAGCCTCACCTACACGTTCACGGTCATTGCTGTCCACAACAAATATTAGACCTAAAATAGATGTCATTTGTTCAGGGACTGATCTATTTATGTGAAATGCTTCATTTAACATGCCACCAAATGGTATTGAATGGCTAACATAGAAGATAGCTGCAATTTTGACTGCAAAATGAAATAAGTGCATGGCCAGAAACAATTCCAACTATCTGGCTGAATGAAATAACAAATTTACCCTGAGTATTCTGAAAATAATGTCTCCATAAAGGTCGTATTTTGTCCTGACCTCCAACATCCCATACTGTGAATGATATATTTTTGTATTCTACTGTTTCAACATTAAACCCTGAAATGGAACACCATTTTCCAAAGTACGAAGAACCAATCAAAGTAACTAACGGACAATCAAAGTAATTAACAAAGAGTCTAATTGACTGAAATTCCATTAGAATTTACAAACTAGTACATCCGAACATTAAAACAACACAACTCAAAGTGAGATAGAGCAGCCCTCCGTCTAAAAACCACAAACATTTAGAAAGATCCAGGATGATAACCACCGTTTGATTCAGCAATCATCAGTCTACAAAAATTCGTAAATTTTAAAAATTTTGAGCAAATTTACGTGTGGTGAAAATCATGGTACCAACCAATTGTAGGAATTGTTGTAACAATTTCTCCAAGTTTCAATTTATACAGGATTGTAGTTTTTCCCGCTGCATCCAAACCAACCATTAAAATTCGCATTTCCTACAACAACAGTTGAATTTAATTTCATCACACACAGCAATTAGAAGTAATTAAACAGAGCAATCCGAAATTAAATGTCGTCGTCTATAGACACCAGGTTGACGGGTGGATAATGAATGATAAGAGGATATTATTTTCAAAAAAGTACATTTATCCTTTAATAAACCTAGCAGTCGAATCTATATCTCAGTCAAGAAATGAATTCCCTCACCTTCTTACCGAAAAGGCCTTTGAAGAGATTTGTGAAGATGTTTCCCATCTTCAATAATCCTTGAATTGGTTATAAATGCTTCGTATTCAGAAGCTAAAATAAACTTATGAAGTGGAAATCATCCGATATGTCTCGATGCATAGGACATTACGACGCTACATATTTCTCTCCACGCTTTAGATGATGACAATCGTTTTCGAATCCTATCCGACAAAAAACCCAAAATAATGAAATAAAGGTCACTTGCTAAGGATTCACAATTACAATAACGCCAACAATTCTTAATTTCAGTGATAACGACAGTCATACGACAGTTTAATGCAAAAAAAATGGAAAGATGAAATATACAATTCACGACATAAGCATAAGCACTTATTTTCATGCTCTTAAAACCGAATTATCCTAACAGTAATTAGTAAATAATTATAACCAGTGATCTTTGAGCCAAGATCAATCAAGAACTAATATCACAAACAGTATCAGACTGTATTCCGAACAACTTAACCTGTGAAATCAAAAATGAGAAAAAAAAATTGAAGAAAAACGTGTGTGGCACTCATGCCTCATGATAATCAATATGAATTACTTCTGAATTATTACTTGGTAGTGCTCCATTTACAGTAATGACTACTTGACGTTACTGAAGTCACACGATCTTCAGCACTAAACTTATCCACCTTAACTATTTAATCTGAGGAAGTGAAATTACTTCACCTGGAATAACAAAATTACTTGACTTTCAATACTCAAACTAGTTGACCTGCGTTACCAAAATCATTCAACCCTATTAAGACTCAAGTACTAAAGCTAAATACCCTCAGGGATTGAAATTAATTAACTTTCAGATCTTAAACTACTTGACTAACAGTATTAAAATTATGACTTACGACACTGAATTTGGAATTCACAAATAATTACGAACAGTATTATGCAATGATATATAAGAATGAGTAAGTGATAAATTAACGATAAGGGAGTGACAAGATCACTGATAATTATCGATAGCAACACATCAACGGTCTCAACCCCTCCTCACTTGACAACACGACACGACACCACTCTCTCGTTGGACCAAGAAAATCGATCACTCGGCCACACATAACCTTTCCCGTAAAAATCGAACAAACGGCATGCAGCGGTCGGGACGTTCCGCAAATGTCACTGTTTCCCTAGTCCTTTCATTTTTTGGTTTTCATGATTTCAATTCTCTCAATACTGGAACAAATGCGCATCATGTCTGTCCACAGTTTATTCAATAGAGCATTTGTCGTATCCATATATGATTATTTCCTTTTTTGATTTCCTAGATTCTTACGATAGTAGTGGAAGTGTATATCATGAGTCGTATCCATATGTTTAGTATTGATTAGTTCCTTCTTTTTGAATTCTGAATTTATGTGTCATATCTTTCCGCACTTTATCCAAGTGGAAAATTTAGTCGTATACCTTATGTTTACTACCAATTATTTTTTTTCTTGACTTCTGAAGTTTTGTATCATGTTTATCTGTAATTTATCTAGGTGGAAGATTTACTCGTATCTATATGTTTTACAGTTGATTAGTTTCTTTTTTTTAACTTTTTTAAGATTGTAATTCTCACGATGGTAGTGGAAGTATGTGTCATGTCTGTCTGCAGGGTTTATCCGAATAGAAGTTTTGGTCGTATCCATACTTTATCTTCAAGAGAGCTTGTCTTAATTACTGAGGAATAGTTATAATAAGATGCCGAGAATTCCTGACGTCAAGATGATGTAGTTTAATTCTGATGGTTCTTTGATTACATATTGGGTCATATTATTACTATATCCTGTTCAATTTCAGCGACTTGAAGTTTTGGGGACGTTCGTCGTTAACTATTCATAAGAATCAAATATATTGAATTTGCGAAGTTTTCCATTGCCAGTTTTATTTCAGAAATGAAAAAAACGGACTTCTGTTTGCAAGGTGGTTCAGGAGTATGTTGTTCGAGACGTTTCGCTAAAGGAAAGTATGGTGGAACATTTTTTTTCTTTCAGAAAAAGTGAAAAGCAATGGCAAAATCCAAAGTGCGATTCTCAGAAGTCGACGAACTAACTGACGAAGGAGCTTTGCAGCATAGCCGTGCGAAGTATGCTCGTTATCAGGACGATGAGAAGAGAAATTCGGATGAGGAGGAAAATGATGAAGGTACAAGGAAGGATTACCAGTCGAAGCATACTCTAGATAGTGATGAGGAAGAAGAAGTGAAATATAACAAATTGGATGTGGACAGAGTTTGTTACTTTGTTTTTGTTTTCTTTCAAATATTTAAAGGTATACTAGAATTACAAGATATGAATAGAGTTGAATCAGGATTTGTTTTGTTTATCTTTGTAATAAATATTGCTTTATAGGCGAATCTATCCAATAAGTTAGTCTTTTCCCGTACACTTCACTACGAATCATATCCGGTGATTAGTATTTGTTCCCGGACAATTTCCAAATTACCCAAGTAGTTTACCAAATATCCTATAACAATATATTCCACATAATAAAGATTCTTTAATGTTGCACTTGCTTTCTTCACATTCACTTAATTCGAATATTTCATATTTGATTGGCTCCCCCTTCTTAGTTATCGAATTTGAGATACTAATTTTCTTTTTCTTTTTAATGCTGGTACGTGTAAGCTTTTCATAGTAATACGTGTTATTCGGTTTACTTTTTTGATAAAACACCGATAAAATTCATGTCGTTGGATATTTCAGCGTATATTTTTATATACTTTGACAAATTAATTGGGAAAATTATTCGAGAATCATGCTTTTTTGGAGTGACAATTTTAATTTCTTTAAAACGTGTTATGGCATAATTCTTTGTGAGAATATAGTCACCTGCGTAGGTTCCATTTAGAAATTGCTTCCGATCGTTTTTTTTTTATTATTATTTAGAAGGAAAATTATTTCAGATCGATGGACAGGAAGAAGCAGATCTGGAATATGAAGGCAACACGAAAATTATGCCTTTCAATATGAAGGAAGACCTGGAAGAAGGCCATTTCGATGCTGACGGGAATTTCATCTTTGATAAAGTGAGTTAGGGCAGTTTTCTTGCAGCTGTTGGAATTGGTGCGTCTTGAATAACAACTAAGATTTAATTTCGCATTTCCCCGAATTCTTTCACAATCTCAAAATCTTTGTTTTTAGAAGGAAACTGAAATAAAGGATGCTTGGTTGGATAATATCGACTGGGCAAACGTAAAAGCAGATGCAGGCGATCAGTGGAATCAGAAAAATGTACCTTTCACCTTACTTCGCAATCTTTATTTTTAGAAACAACATATTCGAAATCCCCATCTTTAGATCTATCAGCAGTTTCTGTTGGAAAAGCTAATTTTTTGACTTTGTCAGCGATATAGGCCTATTCGGGATGTAATATTGTTCCTACCAATAGTACTAGTTAACAACAGCAAAAAAAGTAGTACGCGGTAAATTGGTAAGCAGTGATAAATGAGTTATACAATAAACAAGCAATATGACCAACTAACAAATTCCTTGTCGTTGCCTTCGGTAATAGTTGAGTGTCGGATTGTTGATGGGCTGAGTAATGATTGAGATATAAGAGTTCATTGAGTAGGATATATCTGCCAGGAAGGTATTTATTTAGCGGAAGGAATGTTGTAGCTTGGTGTCCAATGGTGGCGGATAGGCACGAAAAGAACGTTGTACTCTGTTTGGTTGTAAAAACTGACCGTGTATGATTTTTTCCATATATATGTATATATACAAATATATATATACATTTATATATATATATATATATATATATATATATATATATATATATATA